TACAGAGCCAAGAACTAGATGCCATTTTTCATCTTCCCTGGACAGTTGGTTCTTCTACATTTAGTCCACTCCATTCGTGTTGCCTGCCTGGTTTTAGCAGACACACAGCTGTATCTCCAACATGCCCACTTCATTAACAGTACAGGACAAACTGCTGGGGTGAGAAACAAGTATTGGACCCTTGGTTTATATGTAGGTCTGTTTCCTTGTTTGGTTTTTGGTACTGAGGATTAAACACTGGGGCTCTGTACCACATCCCCACCCTTTTTGTTTATTTTGAGCTAGGGTCTCACTAAACTGTGCAGGCTGGCCTTGAACTTGTGATCCTCCCACCTCAGCCTCCCAAGTAGCTAGGATTACAGCTGCATCATCAGATGCAACTCTCCCTATTAACATCTGCTTTCATGTTTTATCATACACTTGATATATTAATAAATAGTCAAAGCTATACTTTATAACTAAGTCACATATGGGCACTGGAGGTGTTTGTTCAGAGTCATTTTTCTGATGGGTCTTCCAGATAGAGTTTGAAGATCACCACTCTCAATCCTTACTTTATACAAGCTGTGAGACGCTGTGAAAATCCCTTGGATTTTTTGGTCTGGATATATATATAAAAGATGGATATATTGATACTGTTTTTATTTAGAAGCATCGTTTCAGAATTCCAAACCCCTGGCATTCTGTGAAGAGCTAGCAGTAAAAGCAGAAAGCCTCCTTGGCAGGAACTAGGGCACAACATGTAGAGCCTGCTCCATTCACATTGGTGGGCAGTGGTTGTCCACAGGGTGACTTGAGAGCTTCCTGTGGGGTGAGGAGTTATGAAGCTGGGCTGCAGGCTGACCTGGCCCAACCCCTGGCACAGCACTAGGGATTGATTTTCAGGATCATTAGTGCTGTTGATGCACTCCCGGGAAGACAAGTCCTTGCTCTCACGAACAAGCAGCCGCCCCATTTCTGCTCACCTTCCCCTTTCTTCCAATCCTCACCTGGGCTTCCTAGGGAGAACATTTCCCATCCCCCTCAACTCCACTTGCCTCCTTTGTCCTTGGCCTCATTTTAGCCTGAGAAGAGTTGGGATTTGAGCAAGATCAAACTCAGGTGAAGGTGTGTGCTGAATGTATGCCCTAGTTATGGTCATGACAAGGCTACCTCCACCCTAAGGGAAAAGTGGCTCTGAGACCAGGAGTCTGGTAGCTTCTCAAGGACAGGTCAGTCTGAAAGTGGTACACGCAGGTTAGAGGAGACTCTGAATGCTGGCTCTGTCTCTGAGACAGGATGCTCCAATTCCTCACTTTTTTCATCTCAACTACTAAGGATGATTTTAGAATGGCTCAAATCTCCAAGATACAGAAATGTGACCTAAGTCAGAAATGAGGATGACCAAATGTCCTGCTCTTCCAATGACCACAGTGGCAATGCTAAAACTGGGACAGTCAGGGCAAACTTGGACAATTGGACATCCTAGATTGAGCTGGAATTCAAACCCCAGAAATCTGTCTCCAAATCCCACAAGCCAACCTGCTCTCATATAGCACCTTGAGTGAGGGCAGTGGGCCATGGTGCATGTGCACTGAACAGGTATTGAGTTCTGGAGGAGGAGAGAAAAAGATGAACAAGTTCCCCGTGTCATTCCTCTTTCTGCCTAGGGGTGAAGTGAGCAGAGTAAAGGGGGCGGTCTCCATACTCATGCTGTTTGTAAGAGGAGACTGCAGCAGGAAAAAGGTCAGAGCTTGTGTAGATCCTAAACTATTTGTGGAGCATCTGTATATCCAGGATTTTAGTCCAAGCTCTTGTAAAGTTGGTTCTGCAGAGACGGTAACCACTGTTTTGAGGGCTCAGAAAGCTGGTCAGTATCTGTGGGTGAAGGTGGTAGAGCCTGCACTCGACCTTGGCCTGGTGTGGCCAGTGCTTCTAGCCAGTCCAGATGAACTTTCTTAACCCATGAATCATTCCAAATTATTACTGTTGTAACTCAGGAGCTGAGAGGGATGGGAATAGGTGGGTGGGAGATTTGTTCAGTGTCAATCTTTCTATGCCTTTTGAAACTTGACTTTCCATTATTTGTTGGCTGGGTTCAAGGCAGGGAGAAACCAAATTTCAGGGTCTTATATTTCCAACTTATTAATATCCAATTAGGAGAGATCAAAGTTGTTAAGCACAATGGAGGTGTTTGTAGATTTCAATTATCCACCAGAACCATCCACCTCCGACTAAAACAGTCTATGGCTGAATCTCATTCAGAAAATACAGGAGGCAAAGATTCCCTGAGGCCTGTCTGAGCCTTTGTGTTTGGCAAGAGGGATGGAGTTGCCATATTCTGTGGAAATTCTGGGTTTAATTTATCAGTGTTACTGGATGTAAAGAAAAAAATTGTGTAGCTCTTTCAATACTGCCTATGGGCAAGCACCAAAATTAAAATCTCACTTACAACACATGGGGGAGACCAATAAGTCATTTAAATAGCTTTAAGTAGCGTGAGACCCTGATTGTAAAATACTACCTCATTAGGACAGTGTTCCAAAGAAGAGATTTTCCCTTAGCCATGAGAATACAGCCTTCTCATATCACTGAAAATTCATTCATTCATTCCATAAACACCTATCGAACATCTACAGGCTAGTACTGTTTTAGGTGCTGTGAGAATATTAAGGAGAGAGTAAGTAGACTTCCCTCATGGGATCCACAGGCCACTGAAGGAGATAAGACATACACAAAAATTAGCACCAGTCAGAGGGAACAGAGAACACCAGTCAGAGGGAACAGCCCAAGCAAAGATCATGCACACCTGTGTACTAGGGTCCAGAGAGGGACCTCGTCTGGCTCACAGTGTGGGGACAAAGGACTACAGTGTAATTCCTGGAAGGAACAAAGTCTCTCCTGATGTCAGGTCTAATTCCTTCAGATAGAGCGATGTATATGCCAGAAATAAGTCCCAGGAAGACCTAATTGTCAACAATGAGTCAAAGGTTGATAAATTAAACCCCCCAAGAATGAGACAAAATTAGGAATTGCCAAAGTTAGGGCACAAATGATGAAGTCATAAGACAGGATCAGAGCTTAGTGTGGGTTGCAGATCTAGTCCATTTCATGGGCAGAGCTGGAATCCAGCCTCGAGGTGGGCTTTGAAGATAGAAGGAAGTTCAGGGATTGGAGAGAATAATCCATGGCATCATGGCAGTCAGCTTTTCATTTCTATAGCAAATACGTGAGATAGTCAACTTAGAAAATGGAAAGGTTTATTTTGGCTCACAGTTTTGGAGACTTCAGTCCACAAACATTTGGCTTTGGGGATTGTGGTGAGACCACACATCATGGTAAGAGTGTGTGGCAGAGCAAAACAGCTCACCTCATGGTCTGGATGGGTGGGTGGGGCAAAAACAGCACAGGGAAAGGGCAGAGGTCCCCCTATCCAGTTAAGCACACTCCCAATGACCTAAAGACCTCCAATAAGGTCCCACCTCTAGAATACTCTACCACCTCCCAACAGCACCACCCTGGGGACTAAGCCTTTAACACGGGCCTTTGGGAGACATTTAAGATCCAAACTAGAGAGGAGGCATCCTGAGCAAAGGCAGCGGCCCGAAGATGGGAGAAGAGGGAGGCAGAAGGTGAGCCCACTGTCCTGAGCAGTACAGAGGCTCCTACTCTTTCTCTGTCACTCAGACAAGCAGACAGATAGGTGAGATCAAGAGCAGACCAGGTTTTGAAGGTAAACAGATCTGTGTTGGGTTGAACTCCAGTTCACTTATTTACTCAGTGATTTATTCCAACCCTCTGCCTGCCTCAGTTTCCTCCTCTGCAGAAAGGCCATAACAGATTCCTTGGTGGGGTTGCAGTGAGGACTGCCATCTTACATCAGAGTATTTTAGACATAGGCTGCACTGCCTTCTGCTTTGCAGCTCAGGCAAACTCCCCCCTGCCACTGGAAAATGAACCAGCACCTTCACTCTGAGCTACATCTCCAGACTTTTTTTTTTGTTTTATTTTGAGACAGGGTCTTGCAAAGTTGTTAACTTGCTTAGACGGGGCTCCTGCTTCCTCCTCAGGCCACAGGATCAATGCAATGCAGGTCAATCGAAGTACTGTCTCCAAGAAGAGAGGCTGGACCTGATCGAGACTTTTTGTGGGAGCGAGAAACTTTCCAGAAGCCCTGGTGGGTGCTTACTTTTGAACCACTCAGGACAAAAGGCATGGGACTTACCATACAGTCTAAGGTTTAGACTAGTGACAGTGAACCTTTTAGAGCTTTCAGTAATGCATACCTTAGGTTAGCCATCCCTGGTTTAGACCAACCAGGTCTGGCCTGGCACAGGAAGGCAGGGTGGGATAATGGAGGCCCCTGGGAGAGGGCTGCACGCGTTCAAAGCCTCAAGCAGAGGGGGCTAACATAGAGGGGTTAGGCAACCTCAAGTGTCTGCTTTAGCAAAAGCTTGCAAAATGCTGACACATAATAAGTTCTCAGTCTATGGCAACTAACACTGGAGCTTGGGCAGATCACCAAAGCTAGCTCTCATGTGTGGCAGGCACCACCATCTAGGCTGAAGGTAGTTTTCCTTAATTATATTTAGAGCCATTAAACCTGTAAATAAAAGGGAGGGGATAAAATGAAGAGAGATTCTAAGATAACTGGAGTAGCTCAGAGGGGTTGGTATCAATATTGTCACATTGTCTATACAGTCCTCCTTTTCAATCCATATTGAATTTGACTTTTTATAACCTATAATATGAACCCCTTCTTCTCCAAGGTATACTAACATATTCGCTTTCTGTTTAGGCCTCACAACCACCCTGGACTCCTGCAGAGAAGTCACAGAGTCCTTCCTCTGGGGGAAGTTGGGAGGGTTTTGCACTTGGTGTGCATGGGTTTTGTGAATCAGGTAGGGATCAGGTTGTCTGGGTACATATCTCAGCTCCAGCACTGCACAGTTGTGTGAACCTGGGGAAGCCAGTCTCTCTGTGCCTAAGAGTGACTTCCTCATCTAGAAAAATAACAGTACCTCACTCTTCAGGTTGTGGTGAAGATGAAAACAGATGGATTTCCTCTGTCTGAGAGCCTGTTGAAGATACAGTTTTGAACATGGGTAGTTTGGATTCTTGCCACTTCCTGCCACCTCCTAGAAAAGCAGAATATAAAGCAGGGGTATAGGAAGGGAAGAAATGTAAAAAGTACAAATTCCATAATTTAAAGAAATGATAGTTATTGCCGTCTAGCAGAGCAACAAGATATAAATACATGACAACATATATAATCAGGTTAATTGCTGAAAAAGGTACAATTGATATTAGGGCTGAATTATACAAATGTTTGCATGTGTGAAAATCCCCGAACACATACGGACTTTAATTACTTCATTGGCATGGAAAATTCCAGCTCTGCTGCTAGTAGCTATAAGATTTCAGGGAACTTTCGTCAACTGTCTGAACCTCAATTTCATTGGCTGTAAAATGACACTAATAATTTCTTTCTTCCAGAAAACACCACCTAAGGTAATGTGTGTGAAATGACTTTAAAAATTGGAGAGCACAGTACTTTTTGAGGTATTTCACAATTGTAACTAGTAATAACCCACAACAAAAACATACTCAAAGGCAATGTGAAGACGGACACTCACAGTGTAAAAGACCAACCTAAAGAATGATCCAGAAATACCAAATACATCATGTTTTTCTTGAAAATGAGGCCTATAAGTTGGAGACATTTAACTTGCTTTCTGAGTTTATATCTTTTTTTTTAATCATTATCACTTTTGGTCAACATGGCATCTTATCTTGTTAGAGACCAGACAGAAATTGGTGGCTTGCTTCAGACAGGAATCTTGAGGATCCAAGCTCCCGGATTAAGGTGGCTCTCTTTATGAATATATTCTCTGGGCAAACATGGAAACTGAATTAAATCTTCATTGTGGACAAGGGAGATCAATGCTCTGTGGCCTGGGCTGTGCAAAGTCTTACTACACATAGGGAAGCATTATTTACACCTGCAAGTTCTGATCCCACCAGTCAAAGTTGCTAGCTCCTCACCTCAGGTTCATTCACAGGATCACAGCAGAGATGTCATTCTGGGTTAAAAGCAACTAATGTCAGACCCCTGCTGGTTTGGGCTGGTACTGCATGGGGGAACATGATTCCTATTAATGGGGACATTGGCTACAGGGCCAAAAGCAGACATGCAGGGCAGAGGGTTCAATCTTGCTTCTTTCATTTATAGGTGCCTTTGTGCATCAAAAGTCATCCTGAAATGAGAGAAAGAAGGAATGTCAGGCTTGACCTACAATGGAGAATGCTCTTTGAGGGGCCTATAATCTCCCTTCAGGACAGCTATGTGTTGGATCTGCTTGTCCCACAAACTCACTCTTCATTGCATAATAACTTTACTTTTTCCAAAATGCTTCCATATTCATTGTCTGTTTTATACTCTAACCTCTTTGGGGCACAGTGGACTTCTCAGAATAAGAGTAAAGCTCTTCTTGCAGGTAGGGATCGTGATCAGTGCTGCTCATTGGTAACAATCAGAGGTAACAGGAATGAAGTTAGAGAGCAGCAAGGTGGCTAAGGGACCTGTGTCCACTCCCAACCTGAACCATGAAGCAGACTGGAGGATTGGGGTTAGGGAGGCACAAAGGATAAGAAAAGCCATTATGTTTCTCTGCTTGAACATGACCCAACAGACGAACTTCTCATTTTTCTCTCATAGCAGAAAGCTCTAAAGGGGGTGAACTAATGCCCAAAAGTCAAGGTCTTATGGCATTTTTTCCACCCTACTGGTCCATGACTTAAAAGTTACAATATGAAGATAAGGTTGTGCTAGAAACCAGGGTATCTTTTAACCAAGTTCCTCCACCTCTTCCTCTTCAGGGCTGTACTTCTTCAGTGTGGCTTAAATGACGCAAACCCACTCTTCTCAGTAAAACAAAATCATCATCTCATTAGCATCCCAGAGAATGTCCTGTGATTGCAGGAAGGAAAGCTGTGATTGCCACTCTAAACGCAGAGACCATAGTGATTTTTAGAAGCATTGTTGGCTGGCTGAGCAAGGAGTGAGAAACCCACCTTTGATTTTCTGTAGAGTGGTCCTCCACACGGATGGACTCTAAGATACTTAGCTAGTCCCTAAGCTAGTTGAGGGATATTTAGGTCACTGTCTTATTTCTGTCATTAAAAACCACAACATGTACATTCTTATGCAAAAATCTAGTACATGCATTGTGTTTCTTTCAGTTACAGATGTCTAGAAATGAGACTAGATATTGCAAACTTTCCTTTTAAAAATCTGTTTTGATACTTCACCAATTTATAATAACACTAATATTGGAAATAACTATTTTATTCCTTGAGGGCAATGTGCCTGGCACAATATTAAGCACTTTCCAAACATTATCATGTTTGATTCTCTCATGCATCCAGTGTGATATTATTCCCATTTTATAAAGGAGAAAATGGAGGCACAGGGCATATAATGTTACTTGCTTAAAGTGACTTAGTAAAGGTATTTAGCCTCAGGTATTCTGATCCAGAATATATACTCCCATTATTTCCAAGAGGAGCCATCTCTATGTATGGGTAATAGGAAGCTCCTGGGCTTGTTGAAGTTGATCATGCCAATGGGAAAAAGAAGCCAATTAGAACCACTGTACATGTCAACATCTTGAGCCTTCATCAACAAATCTTTGAGTTTGATTTTTGAAATGAAGTTGAAGGTCACAGAAGCATTTTACCCCAGCTATGTCTATGCAACCCCTTTTGTAAATGCCTAATTCAACCAGTCCAGGAGCTCTATTTAACCCTTGCTGAATAACACTGGCCATCTCTGTGTTCTGTCTCATCAGTACACAGTATTATGGAATGGGATGGAGGGTTGATCCAATTAAAGGCCATAGTTGGTTTTGTGCATTCTTAAAAACAGGGCCATTTATAGGTGTGAAACAACATGGTGAGAACTGGGAACCACTCTGGCAATAGCTTTGTCCAAGGATGCTTATTGTCTCTGAAGTACTTCAGATGATGCTTCTTTGTCCTAGGTAGAAAAAGAGTAGGAGGGAGCTGAGGAAGGGAGTGAGAGGGAGGAGGTGGGGCAGGAACAGCTGTCCCAGCAAGTGGGGATATTTATTCTTTACCACTGCTAAATCCTTCTGTTACATTCCAGTGGGTCTAATAATCTCCTAAGAAAATACTACCCTGTGTATCTTCTTACTTGTAAGGGCATGAACTCTCATGCCCATGATCAAAATCATGTGGGGAGTGCTGTTATCTGAGTGTCACACACATTTTCTATGTGAGGAACAGGTCCTCACTAAATTACCAGCCTGACGCCCATATGCATATGACACATGACCCAGGTCCCACATCCCAGTCTGCTGGGATGGGGAGCAATGGTCGTGTAAAAACATCACCAAAATTGTAATGCAGTGGTGAAAACTGTGTAGAAGAAGAAATACTTTGAAAGCCATTTGGGAGTGGGTGGGTTATGACCCTCAGAAGGATAGGCTAACAGAAAAACAGATAGTCACTAAACTGTATTGTTAAAGGAGGTCGGGGGTTTTGTTTCTGAAAGTGGTACACAGGTAGAGATACAGCCTCCAACACCCTCTCCCATCTGCCTCCATTCTGTCCTTTAAATAAACGTTGACCCAATACTTAAAGAAGAGCTATGTGGAGGAGTGCCAAGTCATTAATCCTGCTGATGTGCATACCCCACTCAGTGGCTCTTCCCACCCACATGCTACTGCCTGCCATAGGATGTCTGTGAGGGCACCTGAAGGTTCTTCTGTGTCCTCCAGGCTCACATGCTAGAGATGGCATGAGAATGGTTTGTGGTCCACTCCCATCTATGCTGAACTTATATCTCAGGGTCCCAGTCTAGAAAATGGATGTCAGTGTTTATCAGGGGTGAGAGACCACCAATGCACAAGGCTCACCTGGTACCTTCATCATGCTGTGTCCTCACATTGTGCCATGGATACCCAGGTAATTATCACACCGAAGCTTCACAGTGCACATGAAGATATTAAAAGCTACAGGAAGTTCCTTACAGAAGAAAGTGTTTTTTAGTCTACTAGTCTATTTCCCAACTTACTTGACTATAATTTTTCATATTTGTGCACACTTAGGAGAAATGCTACTTTCCATATAGTCTGTTTATGAATCCGGTTCTCCTGACATAACCCCAGCATTTGTGCACACACACACACACACACAGTCATGCACCTAATGTACACGCCTGTGCATACACTGTGTACTCACCTATGGACACACATGTACACATAAACGTACATGCACAGAGAGGAAAGAAGGCAAGAGAGGAAGCATCTTCACGTTCTTGCTGTCATTTCTTACTTGGCTAATAAGAGCTTACAATGTTGGAGCTGGAAAGCACTGAGAATCCTCCAGCTTGATTGATTGTACTCCTGTTGTTAGGAGTGTGGCAAGAGAGAGCACAGCCAGCTAAGGGTCCCCGTACCTTGTTAGTGACAGAACAGGGACAGGAGTTAGATTTTTCCAGCTCTCTTCTGTCTTCTGGGAAGAGCGGGTGGTGGCCGCTGCTTCAGATACTCATGCTGGGGTAGAGGTAGCTAAAGGTGTCTTCTAGTTTTCTGCATCTTGATATAGTGTCTGGAGCAATTCTGGATCTGAAAGGGAGTCAGTTAAGTCCAGAAGTATCGTAAGAACAGCTATTCTGAGTCCAGCAAATGTGTCAGCCTTGCAACACAGGAGCAAATAATATAACCTTCAGAGTTTCAGACCTTAACCATGCGAGAAATAAATACATAGGATAATTTGAATGCCTTACAAGTGATACGAAAAGTGTTAACAGGGAGATGTGGTAGGGGGGCCTCTACCTCATCCTAAAGAGGACTTCGTTTTGCTGTCATCGGCAGCACAGTAAATAGTAATTACTAGCAACAACTTTTAAGTCCTTGCTGTGTGTCAGGTGCTGTACTAATCCCTGCTCATTCAATTCCTTGGTTAGTGAAAGACAGAGACAGTACTAGAACCAAGTCTATCTGTTTCTAAAATCCAGTATTGATAGCAAGTTCGTTCATTTTTCCAAAAACACAGATGGTACACTGTTCTTCTTCCTAGTAACGCAACACTGGGGTTAAGTGCTTCATAATGTTTTCTCCCAACATCTTTAGTCTCAATTTTACTTTCGGCTTCATTCCATTACTCTTAGGTCTACCCGTTAGAGACCCTTTCTTCCCCCATGAACACATGCAAAATGAATCACATCGTATTATCTAATGCCAGTCGTGTTTATACCAGAGAAGGGAAGTAAGTTTTTAGGAGTGAAGAATTTGTTTTTCCATGCTGTTCCCTCCCTTGGGGGGAATCCAAATACTTTTTCTGAGATTAGACAGCATGTGTGGTTTTGGAGCTGAATTGATGAGAGGATGGATACACACCACACCTTATTTATTTTCTCTTCTATAGAAGGATCTCAGCTGTCTTTTCTCCCAAATTGAATTTTCTTACACTTGAAGAATGATCCAAGCTGAGAAACTTCCCAAACATCTGAAATCAGAGAATTTGTGCCAGGAATCCATGAGGCTCATGGTTTCCAGATGGAGAGACCGGAAGAAGAGGAGGCGGAGGAGTGGAGGAAGGGGGTGGGAGAACGAAAGGCAGGGGGAAGCCTGAACTCTGGACCACTTCTGACTGCCTCGTGAACTGAGCCAGGTCTTTCATGTGCTCTGCAAGCCTGCCATTGGACAATGTGCCAGCCCTGAGGATAGACAGCAGTTGCGCATGTCCTCATGAGACCGTGCCAGCGATTATTAGAAAGTAAGTCACGGTGAAATTGTCTTTGCTGAGGGCAGTGACGGGCCTCAGCAGCACAATGTAAAAAGAAAGCCTGTGGCTTGGCTATCAGGAGGAGCATAAACACTCCACGATGGATTTTCTTACTATCCTAGAAAAGGCAGAAGACAGTTACTTTTAGAAAAAGTAACTTCTGTCTGCCATTTAACCATATACAGTGGCAGACTACCAGGGGACTTAGTTCTTCCTACACATCTTGACCTCATGCCAGAGGTGGAGAAGGCCAAACAGACAACTTGTAATGAGTATGCAACTTTGTTTTAAGTATAGTTTGGTCATAAGAGGGCTAGATATGATCTCAAAAGGAATACCTTTGTATCATTACATAAGCCAGTATCTTCTAGAGGAAATATGAGTTTGGGGGAAACTGGTCAATCTACTTATAAGCAAATGGGAAACTGGCTTTAAGTATTAAGAAATTACACATTTAAAATTTTTAATTGATGCTTAATTGTTTATATCTGTAGGCTATAGGGCCATCATTTGATACTTGTGTGCTTTAGCCATTGTAAGAATAAAATCCTGTCATTCGCATAACATGGTTGGAACTGGAGGATATTGAAATGTCAGACATAGAAAGACAAATCTGTTCTCACTCGTAGGTAGAAACTAAGAAAGTTGATCTCATAAAAGTAGAAAGTAGAAAAGTGACTACCAGAGTCTACGAAGGTTAAAGGGTGAAGGAAGCTCAGATAATGGATATCAATATAGTTATACAGGAGGAATAAGTTCTAATCACCTATAGCACAAAAAGATGATTATAGTTAAAATAATTTATATATTTCAAAAAGATAAAATACCTATTACTATTGTTATCAGTAGTTTATCATTCCCCTTCTAAAACCAATTCTAATGCTCCCACCACCATTACTAACATCAAGTCTAAGAGTGATCTTTTCCTTCCCTGTGGTTCTGCCTACTTGGGATATGTTGAATGTGATACTAGGATATAGCCATACAGTTGGGTCCAAAAGGTCTCAATTTGTGTGAGGAGAAACCAAATACAGAAAAGTTGGCTCCAATTAACACCACTAATCTCCAGATGTCCTGAAAAAACTGCACAGCAAATGGCCACCCTTAAGTTGGATATTTGGACTCAGTGTTTTCAATAGCTAAGCAACGCAGTCACTTCTTCCTAACCTGATCCTCTGCCTGAGACACGAAAGTGCTTAACTGTTCTCTGGCTAAGGGAAGCAAGTCAGCAGAAGTGAACAAATTCTGTAATGTCATGCATTCAAGAGACTGCTTAACTCACCCTGAGACAGGAAGAGATACTGCCTGCCTCCTAAAGCTGAGCAATGCCCAAAATTTATGAACTTCTTTGGACTATGATGTGAATCGGGGGTACAAGCCAGATATGATCATTGGGAAAATGTGGATAATTTCCCTCTCCTTCCCCCTCCATTTTCTATTGCTGATTGTACTGTTATGAAGTAAATTATGATTTAATTCATTCTGCTGGTAAGGGTGTTATGAAATGTTGGTTGCAATGAAGTCATAAAATATATTTAAGTGAAAGAAAGAAAAGATGCCTAGTCAGATAATGTCACAGATAAATGACAAAGCTCAGTGAGCAAAAGGGCAGGCATGGAAAAATCCTTGCCTACTTACCAAAGGGAATGCAGCTAACTTGATATTTGTATATATAATTGACATGGGATGTGACTTTACAATCATGCATGCTGAAGCAGTGCATCACAGGAGAAAAGACAGCTCCAGTCACACCCTTCTGTATTATTATTTTTTAAATCTTAGAGTCATCAGATCAGAGCCAGGTTACCACAAAGTGCTCAATGACCTATGAGAAATGAATCATGTCTTTATTCCAGGGCTTAATACACACATTACATCACTGTTAGAAGCAAGTAACTCTGGTTAAGGGCTCCAACATAGATTAAGGTCAAAAGTGTCCCTGGAGACCAAATTCCCTAGTGAGAGACTGCTACATAACTCCATGTTTGCTCTGCTTCTCAATTCCTCCTTCTCCTAGCAACAACTAACCACAAGCTTTCCAGGATGGTATTGTGTCTACATAAGGCTTATTCTTTTTAAAACAAAGAGCTGGAGAAATATAAGTTGAGAATCTGTTATTACAGGTTAAATGGTGTTACACCCAACTTGTGGTGAGGGTCTAGTTTCTCTTTATTATATTCCAATTTTGTTGTAGTGACTATTGCCTAAAATAAACGGGCAATCGACAGGGGCCTGGAGATAACAGGAGTGCTTAAGTGATTTTTATAGTAGCAGTATTTGTTGCAACAGAATTTGACCTGTATTCTGGTTATTAGTTTCATTCATCATACTGAAAACTTGGCACTTCTATTGTTCATGGCATTATATGCAAAGCACTGTAGCATGAAAGTCACTTATGAAGCTGTGGGGGGAAAAAAACCTCTTAAACTCTAGAGGCTCACAGAATAAAACCTCAACCAGGGAGATGTATTATTTTGCTTAGCAAAATGTTGTCGATTGTCAAAGGTTTATTCCTTTTAATTCCTGAGGTTATTTTTACCATTTGTGATACAAATACTTCTTTAAAAAGTTTTACCACTTGCAATATAAACATTTCTAAAATATTTGCAATAGAAATGACTGTTCTGTTCTGAGCATAATTTGGGTTTATGTGGGACGTGAAGGGTCATTATTTGACCATAATGCTATTGTCCTATGGCACAAGAGGCTCTTTTGGCACTAGTCCACACCTCCAGCAGGACTTCTGGAGCTCTTTATTACACTTCCCTTGTCACTTTTTCTTTCTTGAAACTTCTCTGGAAGTCTATTATTTCCCTCACTTTGCTGTAGGTTTGGAAACTAGACAGTAATTCAAAATTGTAAGGTAAGAACAAGTATGTTCTGAATTTTCCAGTTATGTTTCAGCTACTCATTGTCAGAGAACTCGTTTGGGTTTTAGGTTCAGGCAATGTGGACAGGGGAGCTGATGGCTGAGCCATATAGGTATGAATTGTTACTGAATCCTGCATTATCTGGTGGCTGTGATGGCTAAACCCACTAAACGAACTTTGAAAGTTTTTTGTCTTCTCTTTCCAAGAATATGAAGCTAACCTAATGAAAAGCTGGAGATACCTTCAAGATGTTTAAATTATAGACTCAAGGGTAAGAGTTGGCTGACTTTTGAGATTCTAAGACCATAGCAAAAGAAGCCATAATGATTTAGTGGTCTTATTATTTATGGCCCTAGAATAAAAAAGATAAAGCAAGTCTAATAGTTCAGTCCTTCCGAAAAAGTTACAGGGTAGAAAAGAATTTCACTGCTATCTTCAGCCTTCCTCTGAAAGTATAATGCACTTCCCAGGCTGTACAAAGAGGAGCTACCAAAGGGCCAATTTGTTTTCTGGAAGGCCATACTGCATGTGGGGAAAGGACAAGGGAAAATGATGTGATGCTATCAATACATGATGGAATTAGTATAGCAAGGAGAGGAAAGATGAGGAACAGAGATTACACAGTCTACCAGAGTTTAAATCCTTGTTTCCCAATCATTAAGGTATAATCTTGGTATAGTACTTAATTCTCTAAATATTCCTGAGCAGTAAAATGAAGGATGGTACTAGTGATGTGAGAATTAAATAAGAAATGTGTAAAGCAACTAGGAAAGCATCTGGCCTAGACAAAGAGCTCACTAGATGGTAGCTATTAATAATAAAAATGATTGTTTTAAAGCTGGAAATTGCAATATTTAACAATATTTAACTCAGGTTAGCCAGTTACTGACTTTCAAACAATATTTGTTTGTTTCTTTGCTGTGACATCTTCTTTTATTGAAAGTGGTAGCCTGACTTCCTGTTGGGTGTATCTCACTCTGGGGCCTTGGTAGGGCCAGGAGATACTCCAGACAAACTGCAATTTCACCCTTTTATGAGTGGAAAGGAAATGAGGCCATGTGCAAGTTGCACTAATAAAAGATCAATAAAAAATGAGTTAATTTTCCAAGGGAAGTATAATGAAACAAAAAGGGCTGGGGCAATAGGATGTGGTGCTGAGGACAGGCACCAGGAAGAAGGGAAGAAAATCTCCAAATACATTGTGGTTTGTTAAAACTCTGAAGACTCCCAAGTGCTATCCTGCTTGCAGCACCTAGGGAGGAGGAAGTAGGGCCTAATGACTGCTACAGGAGACAGACAGTCTGCTGTCCTGAGCTTTACCAGCATGACTTAATGGATGACCTTGAGTGACTAATCTACCTATCTTAGGCAAATTTCCCAAAGCTTTCATTGTCCCCAGCTAAAAGGGTCGGTGAAAGTAAATTTTTATGAAATTTACAGTAGGGTCCACTAACTGCATCCCCTCTATACAAACTGTCAGATGGCTTTTAGGGTTTTAATTTTCATGTGCTTAGGTAAGGCTTACATATTCTAATTCACAGTCCTACTTGCTCCAGATTTTGTAGTTGGCTACTGAAGACCTCTGAATATATAACTCCTGGCTTCAGTATAATCTCTGGCCTTAATATTACAAACCATATTGAAATTGCTTCATTCCAAATTAAATACTTCACCAATTATATGGGAATATAATTTTTAAAGTTTCACAAAGATGATTTTGTTGGCCTAGCTGTAATTTGTTTTGCTGGAAAACATGGTAAAAATTAAAACTTCACTGACCCTACTTCCTACTTAATCCAAGTTGTAAAGCTTTAAATGTTACTTGAAAACATCGAAGTATTCTTTAGGTTATAATCTACTTTGGTCATAAAATTTTACCTACGCATGGGTCATTTTACTTAAACAAAACCTGACTCTAAATAATGATCTTCAGCCTGCCCTTTTGCTATTTCTCAAAGATCTCCCAAAGCACTCTGGGGAAGTCAGGAGTAAATCAGGCTCCCACATCTAATAATCCAAACACCATCAACACCACAGTAAGTATGCAGATCATCACGAATATTTACATCTAGCAGGGTTCTTTGTGCACAACTCTGAGAGACAAATTGTATTTCCAGTAATGGTTTATTGATTTCCAAATGCACAGGGGTGCCAAGTTCAAACATCCTGGGATAGCAGTAAATCTCTCTTACAAAATAATTTACAGTATGAAAATGATATACTGAAACATTAACTCAAAGTAATTCCCTTGAAAGATTGAGTGTTCCCTTGTTTAAGGGGTAGAAAGGAAAGATGAATAAGAAGAGAATGGGACTGTGCACAGGCAAACAAGTGGCGGACCATGGCTTCAATGGTCCTACCCACTAGTGCAGTGCCTGTCACTGTGAAGACTGCTCAAGTGTGAAGCTGCTGTGCCCTTGAGGCCTCATAAAGCCCAGTGTGGGCCCCAAGTAGCCATGTGTCTTCATTCATTTTCATTTTCCTGCTTTGGTCTTTCTTCTGCCATTTTTGGTTTGCTCTCAGTTCCAGATGTCTTACCAGGCAAGTCCAGTATCCAAAATGTTATTGTCTTTCCCAGAACGGATCAGTCTTATGGCTGTTTGAAGACTGCAGGGTGGGGGCTTTCTGAAACATTGCTGGGTAAAAGAAATGTGAGATCTGGAGTGTCCCCTACAGGGTTTTTCTCTTAGGGCTGAGCTGGACCTGATCCACGAGAGTTTTGTTTTTTAAGCAGAAAGTTCTGGATGTGTTTAGCACATAGTAAATGTACAACTGATTTTCTGGAGAAGCATATACTGAACAGCCATTATGTGAGGGTAGAATTTTAAGAATCAAGAGGATATTTTCTAGGGCGGCCTGGGGAGAGGGTTTCTTAAGCTCTTTCACTACTACAAGGTTGTGAATTATACAGTTGCGCCCTCAAGCCCAACGAAAGTGACCAAAATGACCCAGGTCACTAAAATGGCCGGGTATGTAAATTTGTCGTGTTATTAGACATCTTGGAGGAGGACTGGAGTGCAATTTCTTTCAGGGCTGTTTCCTTGGTTCAGTGCTTTAGGAGCTGACAACTTCTGCCAGGGAGTAACTCTTTAAGCACACAGGGTCCAGTTATCTGGCAGCACTTGTAATCAGGCTAGCAGAAACCTTTGCAGTGGTATGCAAGATAACGAGGGGCTGCTATGAAAGTCTCTTAGTGCTTAAAACAGTGTCTGTGTGTACACAGAAAAACACATCACATTTATCATATACATCCAGCTACACAGACACACCCCAGGTATCAGTGGGAAAGAAATATATTCACTGGACTTTGAATTGAAACTTCCTTCAGAATCCAGAACTGGTGGCTACATTTAATACAATATGAAAATTTCCTGCATCAATGAAGCAGCAGATATTTTAAAATAAAAGTAGAGAGCTGAATACCCTTCACTTTTACTATTTTTGAAGTTCTACACTTTTGAAGTAAAAAAAAGCCATCTTATTTATGGGGGATGGCACCAAAAAGGAAAAACTCCCAATTCCTGGGGCAGGCCCAAATCAACAATGTGCACTTAAAGCATCTGCTAGAGCAGAGGAATAAGGGAACTCCAATGTTATTTCTGAGCCCAAATTACAGCCATGAAATAGCTTTTTGAAAAAGTTCAAAAAATGGATGGTCAGACTGCAGTGAGGAATCCTGAAGTCTTTTTCCCCTTCTGTTTTCAGGTTTGCCATCATCTGTGCAAAGGGCTGCCCACAGAGCAGGGAGAGCTGGGTTCAAAACTATTTCCAATATTTCCTAGACAAGTGACTCTTCCTCTCTGCAACTGTTTCTATCACCTAACAAAGGTAGGCATAAGGACTGGCCCATAGTTAATCCTCAATACTGCTTATTTCCCTTTCTGAGCTATCAGAGCTAAGACTTCAAGTACTTCTGGGACTGTCCAGGATTTAATAATATTGTATCAAAGGACAAATCCCTTCCACCATGTAGTCCAACATTTGGAAGGCAGCCAGGAACTGCTCTGAGTACCATTTATTCTAGATACATCCATTATCTGCATTCCTCAATGATGTCCCACTAAGGCAGTGATGCCAAAGCTTTAGAGCTTTTAAGGATAAGAAACAGCCAACTGTGGCACATGTGCCAAAGGTTCGCCACCACTGCCCAAGGGATTTCTATAAACCCTGCTGCCTGTGGTCAGTGAGGACACAATTCTGAGCACTCTTAACTTTTACTGACCTAGCAGGAGGGGGAGCTTCATCACGCTGCTCTGGCTTAAGGCCAAGTAGTGTGCTCCAGCTCTGGGGGGAAGCTGTGCCACTGGAGGAAGCATCCTAGTTCATCCTAGTTCACTGATAAATGCTGCTGGCAGGAACTGAGGAGCCTGGGCAGAAGCTGTAGTGCTGTGTTTAATACTTCCATGGTTAAAGTTTTATCAGGTGCTTAAGACAGCAGGAGCCCATAAAGCAAACCTAGGTAAAAGCAAAAGTGCTTTCCTTGAAGACTGTAGACGTAAGATAATTTATTGAGATTGGATGGCACATATTTTTATATATCCGTTTATATCTGCTGCATAAATGCTTGGATTTTCCAAATACTTATTTAAAGTAATAATATGATCAGGTATAGAAATCCAATGATCCATCCACTGCTAATACAAGGTTATCATTTTAAGATCAAACAGTGATTATTGGGGAAAGACAATACAAGCTTCCAAATACAAGTCTTTGCAGTCTTCTGATGTTTTAAATTCATTGAAGAGTGGCTGTTGGTTCTTCAGTTGGGGTAGTTCTGTTGAGTATGGTTGGAGGTTTTAACTCGTGGTATATATATACTAAATTCTCCAGTCTTTGTAGACAGATAAAGCACCAAAAGTGTCTTAGACATTTGATGGACATCAGTTTGAGAGATAAACATTACTTTAACAAGTCAAACTCCTCTCAATCTCAATATCCTTATAGATGTAGAGAACAAGGGTAATCCTAACCCAGAAGTATATATGCTCAGTAGCTTCCTGGCTCAAAAGAATGAGTCATTTCATAGCATGCAGAGTTGAACAAGGATTATAAATAGGACTCCTACAGTAAGCAAGTATTGCTTCTGCCTCAAAACTATCCTGCACACACATATTATCAGATGGTCCTACAGCTTTGTGCTAAGTACACAGGTACAGGTAGGCAATCAGGGAGGCAGGAAAAGGATTTCCTTCAAAGCAGGCTCCTCGGTTCTGCCTCAGAAGAGCTAGAAGTCTAGGCCCTCAGTTAGTGGCAACCCCCAGGCTTCTTGGATATGGTTCTGATTGTATTCCTCAGAAATGAACATGGAAATACCACTAAACGCAGAAGAGAGGAAACGCATAGCCCATTGGTAAAAAGTACCTTCCAAGTCTCCCATTTTAGCTAAATAGTTGATTTTGTACAGATACTGTATTCTGTAATATATCTGGTTTTCTTTTATATAAACAGGCTAGCCCCTAACTTCAAACCATTTAAGAAAACTGATGTTTCAGCAAGATGCATGCTTTTGAACTTGCAGTTTTGTATTCCCCTAGCACACTGATGCCTCCTTGGGGGTATAAAGCTCGGTTGTAAGGAACTCTGATTTGGGAGTGGGGAAAAGCCTGGAAACCCAAGCTTCGGAGGTGTGTATGCTTATGCTACTTAAGAGCAAAGAGCTAGGGTGTGGAAGACGATTTGAAGGTCTGTGGGTGAGGAACGCCAAAGGAAGGAAGATTCCAGCTGGAGTGAAAGGCTGGCCGGTATCTGCTGAGAAAGGAAGCTGAATTCAGCAAGCCACAAAGTGGCAAGAATTCTCCCACACTGTATCAGGTTAACCTGGGAGTGAGACTGGCAAAATCTATAGTGAAAATTCTCATTTGGCAATATACATTTCAGCCTTTCATGTTAGGACAAGCCCATAAAACCTGCAGAGCTCACCTAAATAATTCAAGTTCTGTCAGATCCTTTAGTAACTATTTGGGAGCTTGGGCAATTTGAATGCAGAAATACTAATTTCATCTTTTAATCAGATTCTTTGGTCCACTTTTTTTTCCTAAGACCATTTCCTTTCCATCTCTTCAATCATTTTTTTCATTTCCACAGCACTGAATTATGAATCTGAAGTACTGGATAACTTCAAATACTAAAAATATCTATCATTCTAGCTCTTAATCTTTTCCAATTCCATTTTTAAGTCATCTATCCTGCTTCATGGTACTCATGTTCACAAAGGTAGAAATGGGTTATGAGAGACTGTCTACATGAGTCAATTCAGCCTTAACTTTGTCTTCTTTTGTTTCATGCTTTATTATCAACAAGGTGGGGTTTTGTTTGCATGTAGGCCAAAACTCCGACTTCCCTTCCAAATTTTTCCAGATTCTTCTTGATGAAGTGATACTTTTGACTTCTGTAATATTAGAGACTGACTTTCCTGAGTAAGTTCAAAGCAGCCGTGGAGAGGGTACCTGAAGGACCCTTCTTAATTGCTCCCAGTTGATCAAAGACACTCTTTCCTTGACCTATCACAACAAGAAGATGAGAAGCACACACTCAACAAGCATATGACTGGTTGTCTCTTGGAGAGATATGTGCCCACTATGGATCTGAGGAAGGACATTGGCTGCTGGGCAGCTTTCATAGAAATCAGAAGCCATTACACACACAAGCTGTCACAGACACACAAGGGGAGGGATGGTTTTCCACTGGGGATGCCAAGTCTTCATGTGTCCTCTTCTTCACTGGCACCACTACAAAGGAAAAGGAGAAGCAGGTGAGTTAAGACATCACAGAAGGGAGGCACTGTAGTCTAGGGGTTGATGGTACAGGCTTTGTTGTCAGATACACCCAGATTCAACTCCTAATTACTGTAGCTGAGCAGTGTGTGCAAGTGAGTTAAGTAAGTTTCTCTGAGTTCTGATTTCTATATCTGACTACAGAGAAAATGATAACAAAGCTTTCTGAGTTACTGGAGAATTAAGGAGGGAGAACTATATAAAATGCACAGTGCCTGGTATACAGTAAGTGAAAAGCTATTTAAAGGAGAAGATGACAATGCTAAATTTTTTATTTAATTTACTGGTGCAAATCATGAGTTTGGTTTCCTCTAAGCGTTAGCCATGTACTGCTAGGAAAGAAAAACAAAGAGAAGCCATCATTGGCATTTCACACCTGGAATAAAAGCCAGGGCTCCAACTCTACTGGATCAGTTCCTGTGTTTAAATGTTACCTCTTTAGAGAAGGTCCTCTATCTGAGTAGAACTGCCTGTTTATACTCTGTCTTCTCTCGTAGCCCTTATCACATTCTGTATCTTGTTTGGTATTTATTCTCCCACTATCCAAACTAGAGCAGATAAGAACAACAATATTATTTTACCAATTACTATACATCTAGCAGTAGTATTATGCAGGCATACAGAATTGCTCAACATATGGTTGTCTTTTAAAAGGGAGTGAAATAACATCAGAAAGAAGGGGATGGAGGGATAGAGTTGAAAGGAATGGCCAGTCATTACTGCACTAACCAGAGTATTATAGATGTCAGTGATATTCTACTGGCCAAAAAAACGAGTTGCAGAGTCCCAGAAGGATGGCTAGGACTTCAGCTGCTCAGAATTAGCGTCTGGTCTGGACACTGAGAGATAACCCTGTCCTAGTGGAGAAAAGCAGCAGATGTGAGCAACTCAAAAGGGCAAAAGAAGCAGATTTGCCTAGACTGTCCTTGTCTGCTTCTAACAAAAGCACTGACTAAATATTAACAAGAGACAACTTGATCTATTCTCACTGTCAGCCAGAGGCACTGAGCTTGCAGTTTTTCACCCATTCTATTACTCCTCATACCAATCCTAGGATGTTGGAACTACTATTACCCCCATTGTTTCAGGTGAATAAAGTGAAGTTCCAAGAGACAAAAACTCCTAGGGTCACATAGTACAGTCTGTGTCCTTTAAACTCAAGTTTTAGTATTGGCTGAAGAAGGTCTAAAGTAGTCAAGCAGGTGCAGACAGAAAAGGTTTGTGGTGCATCAGCTCCCAGCTATGACCTAAAAACTTCTCATCTGACAAAGGATTAACTACATCTCTATAAAATCTGTGCTATTTTACATTCACCTGGGAAAATCTTTAAGGAAAATATCCTAGGCAGCAGACTTTGAGTACTTCTGTTAAGGGTAAAAACATTAAAGACACAAGGCCTACAAATTAAGGTAAGTCTAACTCTAGAAGTTACAGGAACCAACTCAGTACACTTCACCATCCAAAACTTTGCAATAGTTCCACACCCTTTTCCTACTGGCTTTCCAATTATGAAACGGGAGGGTGCATGTAGGAAGGGCTAGCCAGTGGATTGGGCTAGCCAGTGGATTGTCACAGAGCTCTGTTTGGTGGCATCTGTCCCAAAAGAGACAAAGAGTCTTTTATGAAAGCTTCTCACAGAACCAAGGCAGTGCTGGAATCAGCACCATATTCATCCCCTTAGTGTTACATCCAAAGCAAGCTCTTATTGTTCGCTAGTCAGTATTAGTTTGAATACGAGAAGGCTAGTATGGTGACTGTGCCCTTTCTCTACACTGCAGTTCATTTTTTAGCATCTTAACTTCAGATACGTAAAGGGTTCATGAACTTACTGAAATTGTATACAGTTTTGTCTGTGTGTTCTTTTGTCTGAGAAAAGACATAATTTTCATCATAGCCACAAAGAGGTCAATAATTCTCACCCCAATTGAGAATAACATTCTTTCTCAGCTGCTAAGTTCTACTGTGAGTCTTGGAGACTAGCTTGGGGAAAAGGTCAGAAGTCTGAGTGATATGAAGTTTTCTCCTTACCCTGAAAGAGACATGTTACTGGGCCTGAGAGATAAAAACACATGAGCTCTTGGGACACTGGTATATTATGTACTGATTTTATATTTACTGCTAAATATTTACTGTCCTACTATATTAGGCATCATTATCAGTTACACTAAAGGAGAAAGATACACACAATCATTTCCCTCATGGACTTTAAAGCCTAGTAGTGAGAGAGAACAGGAACCAAGGGAGGAAAAGAAAACATATTCTTCACAATAGCAGTTAGGACAGAATCTTATTTTCATAATAACCCATTTTTCACAGTAGTGAAGGAAAAGGATCCTAACTGAATCTATAAGAGAACTTTCCTCACCCTGTGTGTGACCCTGGAGGGTTACCTAGCAATACCATTAGTGTGAGGCATCATTCCCTATCCTTCATCAGACATACAAGCTATGTTCCTAAGTTTTTATCTGAAACAGTCCATAATAGCCTTCACTTTCTGCGAATAAAGTAGCACAGCCTTCACCCACCTCTTCTACCAGACACAATTAAATTTACAACTGGGGTGGAATTCAGAGGTTATTTTATTTTAGTGTCTGTTTATATATTTGTTTTTAATGAGGGTGTTAGGTAGACAGGCTATTCTACGTAAGCACACATGGGAGAGCATTATATAGTTTTGGAGTCACCAGAATGAACTAGGTTCAAATGCTTAGATGAATTAGTAACCTTTGAATCTCAGTTTCTCCATGGTAGAACTATCTTCCAGGTATTATGAAAGCTGGATGTACTTTGTACAATACAAATAGTTATCTCCTCCTAACTTTTCCTCAGTGCTCCTTGTCATGGCATCTGAAACATCACATTCCAGAACAAGTATGTTCCTATCTCCAAATTTCCGGAGAGAAACAGTATCCTGCTTCACTTGCTGGAAGAGTTTTTGTATTTTTTTTTACTGCCAATTCCAGAGTTAATGAAATACAGGTATTAGACTGAGTTTGGCAGCAGGGCTCCCAAAAATTCATTATTTGCCAAATGCTAATGGGGGCAAATATTCAGTAAAACTTAGATAAGTGGTCTGGTTTAGTCACTGATGGATCTAGTTTGAGGGTACTGTTATATATAAAAGTGGTGGGCTTAAGTCTGCAGTACATATACTTTGTGTTATATAATGAGTTTTTCAGGAAGTATTTGAGTATGCGTAATTTTAAGGAAATATATGTACAGATCCTTAACTTCAATACAGTATATTCTTTCCTAAAACTGACTTTCCCAAGAGCAAGCCTTTAGTCTATCTGCTCTTTTAAGCTACTCCTAGGTTTATAATCACTTGGCATTCCCTTCAAACAGAAGATGCACACCTCTTATCTTCCTGAATTTTACATGCAACAATTTTAGAATGTCTCACTTCTAAAAGTCCTGTGAGAGTGAGGTGAGACAGTAAAGGAGACAATCTCTTATTTCAAACAAGCTGTGCACTCTTGACAAGGTTGTGTACTTCATCTATCTAGCCACTGATATAAGAACTTAAATCCAGAAGTGAGACAGCTGCTATGAAATCTGTGCTAGTATGTTTATTTGAACTGAAAAAAGAAAAAAAAAATCAGGCTTGATGTGACAAAACACAAGTCTGACATGGCTGGATGGTTTGACCATAAGAACTGGTTTTGCCAACTAATTTATGTCATGAATTGTGCCTGTGAATCTGCAGTGTCAAAGTTCTGACAAAAGCATATATAAAAGCACATATATTAACTATGCAATATGTCAGCAATTACATTCTTCTCAAACACCCTAAACTTGATATATTTTTCAGGAGATGACTTAAAAATAGAGAAGGAATACTTTTTTCTAAACCCTTTCAGGAGACATAAAACCAAAACATTTACATAAAGGAACTGGAAGCACTTAAACTATGACTGGATAGTACCTCATTTTATATCTAAAACCCACGCTTTCTTTATCCAGGCTCCAGAATGATGGGCAAATTTTAGCTATTACAAACTGTGCCACTATAAACATGGGTGCACATATATTGCTGTGGTATGATTCTTTTGGGAAGATACCCAGTAGGGGAATAGCTGAGTAAAATGGGACTTCTAATCCTAGTTCTTTTAGAGGCTAAATGGACTCACACTGAGGTGATACTCTTAAGTAAAATAGGACATGCTTATATAAATACTGAATAGTTTCTCTGGTGTGAGAAACAAAGTGTAAATAAGGATCAAAATGTATAATAAATAATGTGAAATAGGAAGAAAAGGTGCAAAGGGGAAGGGAAAATGGGAAGGGGTGGGGAAAGGAAAGAAGGGAATGGAATTAATATGCAAATGAAAAAATGGGAACAAAGTCTTTGTAAATAGGGAGGGCTGGAGAGGCTAAAGAGAAGGCAGGGGAATCGGGAAAAAATAAGAATCAAGATATATTATGTAAAGGTACAGAACTCCAACGATGAATGTCATTATACTGTAATATAAACTAAATGTACCAATAAAATGTACCAATAAAATTAATTTTAAAAATTCTGACTGGGAGGGTGGCATGAAATTCAACACTTCCCTGGTTGGATAGAATTGTTAAGAGTAACAGAATGGGATTAAGGTGTGCAGAATGCGGTGTCCTTGCCTGAAGAGGAACTTTTCTGTCTTGCTATAGTACCTGCAGCAAGAGTTGTGAGAAGCTGTTACAAACCCCAGTCATAGCAATAAACAACTACTGATAAACTGACTATGATGGAGAAGAGTTCTGCTCCCTGATCATTTTTTAGTTAGTGCGTGCTATGGTTTAAATCTAGGATGGCCCCAAAGTCTCATGCATTCAGAGATGGGGCTTTAGAAGATGTCTGGATCACAGGGTGCTGTACTTATCAGAGGGTTAATCCACAGATGAGTTTATAGCTCTGTGCACTGCTAGGAGGCGGGGCCTAACTGGAAGAGGCAGGTCACTGGGTAGAATGACTTGGAAGAGTCTATCTCCTTTCCTGGCTCCTCCCTTTTTCTCTGCTTTCTGGCCACCATGATCTAAGCACCTTTCCCACCAACATGGTCCTCTGCCATCTTGTTTATGCTTTGAAGCTAGTTGACTCTGGGCTAACACCATGACCCAAAATAACTCCTTTAAACGTGGGTGCCAGATTTTTTGTCCTATAGATAGGCAGCTCAACTTTGTCTTCAGAGCTGTAGCAGTGTAAGAGGATGTTAAATGAAGTGGTATGCATTCTGAACTCACAAGTCTGTTTCTTTTCCGAAGCATATAATACAACCTAATATGAATTAGCATCACCCGTGTCTGTTGAGTTCTGGGATATTAATTAATTACTGCTATGAAAAGATTACTCAGCTGAGGATAAAAAATTAAGAGGCATTGATAAGGGAGAAAGGCTAGATTCAGTTAAGATTCAAAAACATTTAGCATTCTCCAAAAATTAAGCTACTTGAGGACTGTACAAAGAGCTAACTAAAAAGTTTTGAGGGGGCTTGAAGGAATGGAATAAAATAAAATTTATTTTACAAATAACACAAAAAACCCACCCCCCAAAGAAGTCTTGAGGTTT